AAATTAAATTATGCGATACTTTGATAAAGTGTCTCTTTTTATCACTTTTATCACAATTTTTTTGTTGTAAAATTTACTATTTTGGGGAATTTGGGAATTTTTCTTACAAAAACTGTTTTTTTTTTAATTTTGTAAGACAAAAACTTATTGTTTTATTGGTTGTTACAAGTGAAAAAAAAAGTTGGGGGGGGGAGTTGTTTGGGGGGCTTTAATCGTGTTTTTCTCGTCAAATTTTGTTGTTCTCTAGTTTTTAAGGCAAAGAAACCTATTTTTTGTTATTTCTTATTTTAGGATTTTTTACATTCATTTATTGGTTGTTTTTGGTGTAATAAATGTTTGGGGGGCTTGAATCGTGTTTTTCTAAACTTAATTTTTTCTATAGTTTTAAGCCAAAAAAAATTATTTTTTTGTTATTTGATATTTTTAGTATTTTCTGGTGGAGTGCCCCTTTGTTCCTTTTTTGATATTTTTTTTTTTTTGGAGAAGTAACTAACGGAAATTGTTTCTACATCAATATATTGGTTGTTTTTGGTGAAAAAAAATATTTTTTTTGCCAATTTTTCAAAAAACTAGGAACAAATTTTTTTTCGTGATAACTTTGAAACTATAGGGTCACATGTTATTCTGCTGCCCGATTTGGATTTCTCGGATCATATTGTATGAGAAAAAGGCATTGTTCGAATTTATTTTACTATTTTTCAAAAATAATTACAACAAAAATATTTTTTCAAAATGATTTTTTAAAATTTTGAGTATTTTTTAGTTTATTGTGAAACCGTCACTGCATTTGGATTGTTCGTTGTCATTTTAGATAAGAAAAGGTCTAGCTTAAGTTTTTTTTTTTAATTTACTTCCAACATTTTGAAATATTTATAATTTTGGAACAAAAAAAATCAAAATTTTGCTATTATTTTCGAATTTTTGGTATTATCTTACGTAAGAGTTTCAAAATTTGACTTGTTTTTGAAAATTTGGTATTAATACTTGTGTTTATTTATCAAAAATTGTGACATCAAATGTTTTTTTTTTAATTAAATCTAAATTTTATATAAACGTTTTTTTTTCGGATCAGGATCTAAGTTTTGATCTTTTTTGATTGGAAATAAGTTTTTTACACCTAAATTTATATTTTCTGATGGTCATAGAAAATCAACTTCAAATTTTGTTTCTTGAAGTTTTTGTTTTGAAAAATTTATGGTAAACTTTGGAACAATTAGATTGAAATTAAAAATTTTGGGGGATTAGGGGGTTTTTCTCAAAAACCGTTTTTCCATGTTTTAAGAGAAAAACTATTGTTTATCGTGTTATTTGAAACTTTATTTCTAGTTTTCAAGCCAAAAAAATATTTTTTGTGATTTATTATTTTTAGGATTTTTTGGTGAGTTGCCCTTTGCCCCCCTCTTTTTTATATTATTTTTTTTAGAAAAGTAACTAACCGAAGTTGATTCTACATCAATATATTGGTTGTTTTTGGTGCAAATAAAAATAAAAAAAATGTTTGTGGGTCTTGAATCGTGTTTTCCTCGCCAAAACTTATTTGTTTCTGTAGTTTTAAGCCAAATAAAATTATTTTTGTGCTATTTGGTGTTTATAGGATTTTTTGGTGTGGTGCCCCCTTGCCCCCTTTCAATTTTATTTTTTATTTTTTTTGAAAGTAACCAACGGAAATCATTGTTTTGGTTGTTTTTGGGTGGGAAAAAAATTCTAAAATTTTTTTTGGGTGTTTTTTTGCAGAAAACCAAACCGTTCCTTCGCTAACCGAACTCGCTGCAAAATGCGTCGCCTCTCACATTCCCTTCGAATTGGTCGAGCACGTTTACCCCCCCGTTCCCGAGCAACTCCAACTCCGCATAGCATTTTGGAGTTTTCCCGATAATGAAGAGGACATCCGTTTGTACTCCTGTTTGGCCAATGGGGCGGCCGATGAGTTCACAAGAGGGGAGCATCTCGTCAGGAACAACATGGTCAAGGACCCCTTGCAGATCGGTGAGTGAATAAAAAAAAAAAAACTGAAAAAACTTGTCATTACCACCGGAAAAAAGGAGATAGAAGCGACTGTTTGTTGAAATGCAATTATTGTGTAATTTAGTTGACAGTAGAGCACGAACAATGGAACACCACGTCACTGTACTCGGCTTTAATATTAATTATTTAGGTTTATAAAGCGGCAACAAGGGGCAAATTGTAATTACGACGAACGGAAGAACGAAATGTGGAAGTGGTGGTCGGTTGTTGGTATCGATTTTTGAAATGAAATATTCAAAACGATAATTGGACGAATAAATCGGGTTTTAATTAAGAAAAAAAAATGCAAAATGAGAGAAAATCGATTTCTTTATGGGTGAAAATGTGTGAAAGTGGTATTGATCGTTCACGAGAGGATCTTCTCCAGGAGTTTTTTTTTTGTGTTTCTGTTGCTTTTCGAAGATTTCAGTATTTTTTATTTTATTTTATCTAGTGTGAATTTCTCGGGCGATTTTAGTTAAGAAGGCTTTGAGGATTTTGGTACCGTTTTTTCGAAAAAAAATTAATTTTTTACATTGATAACATTGAAAAAAATGAGATAATGGAGGAAAATTTTGGAAGCTASGGATCATGGACAATTAATTTTGTGAAATTTGTGAAAAGGTTGTAATTTTGAGGACGGATTCGGATTTCGTTTTTTTTGTAAAATAAAATATTTACGTATTTTCGAGAATTAAGAGTGATTTTTAGCGATAACTTAAGGGAAATGTGTCTTATTGCGGCCAGATTCGGATTTCTTGGATCATAAAAAACTTCACATGAGATAGGGTTTTGTCGTAATTTTTTTGAGTTTTTTTTTCAAAAATTGCAGCCAGATTTATGTTTCTTCGAAAATTAACTTTGATGCTTGGATTTGTTGTGGATATCTTTAAAACTATAGGGAATTTTTTTATTTTATTATCAAATTTACATTTATGGGACCATTTTACATGGGAAAAGCTTTTGTTCACTTTTATTTGCAAATTTTTGAAAAAATTAGGTACAAATTTAGGTTTTTTTGAGATTTTTGCTAATAACTTTGAAACTATAGGGACACATGTAATTTCTCGGATTATTTTACATGACAAAAAGGCATTGTCCGATTTTATTTCAGTATTTTTCAAAAAAAAAAAGTTTTTGTATTGATTTTTGAAGCAATTTTTTTAAAATTTTGAGTATTTTTTACGTTGTGGTGAAACTATTACGGAAATTGTAATTTTATTGCCATATTTGGATTGTTCGTTATCATTTTAGATAAGCAAAGGTCTTGTTTAATTTTTTTGAAGTCTTTTTGAAATCTACTTCAACAATTTTGGAATTAAGAAAATCAAAATTTTGCGAATATTTTCTAATTTTTTGGATTATTTTACGTAAGAGTTTCAAAATTTGACTTGCTTTTGAAAATTTAGGATTACTATGAAAAAAATACAAAAATTGTAACACCAAATGTTTCTATTTTAAATAAAATTTAAATTTTAAATTAACTTTCTTTTTAATATAAGGGACGGAACAGGATCAAAATTGTGAACTTTTTTGATTGGAAGTATTTGTTTCACATCTAAACTTAGATTTTCAACTTTATCTTATGTTTACAATTTTTTTTGTAAAATTTTTCAGTCGTTTTTTGAATTTTTTCTTTCAAAATTTTGAAAAAACTTTTGGATAACAAATTATTTTACATAGGAATTTCAAAATTTGACATATTTTTAAAAAATTAGTATTAATATTTGTCATTTTTCGAAAAT